GCGCTGCCACTCCTGCTGAATCTGAAGCTACTGCTGGCGCTGCCACTCCTGCTGAATCTGAAGCTGCTGCTGCCCCTGCTGGCGCTGGCGCTACTGTTGCTGACGCTGCCACTGCTCCTGACGCTGCTCCTCCTGGCGCTGACGGTGCCCCTGCTAAAGTGCCTAAAGCTCCATCTACGGAAAACACAGCTTCATCTGCTCCTGCTGAAGCTGTTGCTGCCCCTGCCTCTACTGAAGTTGGCGCTGCTTCTGCTGCTGACGCTGCTTCTGCTGCTGAAGCTCCTGCTGCCCCTGCCTCTACTGAAGTTGGCGCTGTCCCTGCTGAAGTTGGCGGTGCCTCTCCTGAAGTGCTGCATCCATCTATGAAAGACGCAGCTTCATCTGCTCCCGCTGCCCCTGCTGCTGACGCTGCCACTGTTGCTGAAGCTGCTGCTGAAGCTGCCCCTGCTGCTGCTGACGACGGCCCTGCTGAAGCTGACGACGGCCCTGCTGAAGCTGGCGGTGCCGGTGCCCCTGCTGAAGTGTCTAAAGCTCCATCTACGGGAAACACAGCTTCATCTGCTCCTGCTGAAGCTGCTCCTGACGCTGTCTCTACTGAAGTTGGCGCTGTCCCTGCTGAAGTTGGCGCTGCTTCTGCTGCTGAAGCTGCTCCTGGCGTTGTCCCTGCTGCTGAAGCTGCTCCTGGCGCTTCTCGTGGCGCTGTCCCTGCTGCTGAAACGGCTGCTGAAACGGCTAATCATGACCCACCCTCTGCCTCTGCTGAAAATGGCGGTGCTCCTGCCTCTGCTGGAGCTGGCGCTACACCTGCGGGCGCTACACCTGCGGGCGCTACACCTGCGGGCGCTACACCTGCTGGCTCTGACGGTGCCTCTGCTGGCGCTGCTGAAGTTGGCATTGCCTCTGCTGAAGCTGCCATGCATCATGATCATGCTGATGGTGCTGTTGCGAAAGCGCGAGAATCTGGAGATCCAGGACCACCTACCTCGTTTGTTATGGCATCAGAAACTCGACTGAGACACGAGTCTCCTCACTCTGCACGTTTTTTTCCGAGAATCCACGTGCCTTTTTTAGACGTAGCTCCTAATAGCAAGAACTCCTATTAGTATTAGGCTTAGGTCTCGACTGGGTCTGGATTATAGCGTATTCCCCGTACAGAACCCTTATTAGGTAGTTGCATTTCATTTTCTTTTTTACATTTCATACGTCTTAATAAATTAGGTTTCTTTATTTTTTCCGTACTTCCCCTACTTGAGTATTATCAACATCATCGCGTAGTTCTCAGAAAATTTCTAAGAATTCTGAATCACGATCATCATCTGGTTCTACTCCATCTCCGGAACCTGGTGGTGTGAAGAAGATTATTATGCGTGTGAAGTACTACGATGATGGATCTGAAGAATCCAGGACGAAGGTTCTAGGTCAAGATGCAGGCGACGTGGAGAGGCCTGACGAGTCTGCGCAGATCATTATGGCTTGGCCGTAGAATTAATTAGCTTTTTTTGAAGTGTGGCTCTCGCTCTGGCTTCGTACAGGTTTCCAGAGGGAGAGAGAGAGGAGAAAAAGAATGCAACAAAGAGGAAAACTGAGACTCGCTTCGCGGTAAAAGCAGACTGACCTCCTAGTGCATGATATTTGGCAGTGGTAGGGAGTGACCACCAGCGACGTATCTCTGATGATGGTGATAGAATGCATGATGCCACTCATGGAGAGCGAAGACATAGTGGGAATTTCCGCCTAAGTAAGAAGGCAAAGGGAAAACGACACTTCCCTGTCGACGTTCTCAATGAGTGGAAGCATTCAATAGAATACCGCTGCGAGATAGATCTCACCTTCACGATTACCATAGAAGTAGAATCCATAAGCGTCCTAGGAAGGACTTGCAAGGTACTTAGAATGTTTCAGGATGAAGACGAGCTTTTCAAGGGGGACACGGTCTCAGGATAAAGCCCCATCTCGCTCACGCTCATGCTCTAAAATGATGAGAGAGCCTAGCCCAGTGAAGGCCTGCAGAGCGAAAAAAGTCAGAACGGCGGGTCTACTTGGATGGTTTAAAGATGGTTTATGATCATGCCTTAACATAGATTTGCTAAACGTGTTGATACTTCTAATAATAGAAATAGAACTAGGAGAAGGAGTGACTTATTAGACCACCATGCTGAGCCTGAGGAAGATCAAGATGAACTTCCTTACTTCTAGTAGAACTACAAGTAGTTTTTGAAAAGGGTAATAGTATCATTCCCCTTCCGCTTTCATTATTTTCGCGTGAGGACTTCACTGAGTTTTCGTTTCCGCACGTCTACGTGCCGGGAGTGCAGCCGCAATCTGGTGCCCATCTAGTTCCCGGACGATGCCTTCCTGCCTTTCCTCGCGACGATAAGATGGCACACGGCCTAGAGGAAAATCTGATTAAGGCTTAGTGTTAGTCTGTGTGAGTCACTGGTCTACTTGTTACTATACTGAAGAAATGAAGGGAAGAAGTGAAGAAGTGCCTTGCTGAGCTCTAATATGAACCTCGTACCCCCTGCAGAGCTACAACTACATGGATTAAGGCAATGGCAAACAAGATGAATGATGAAAATCTTGCATACCCATACTAGCTGCATTACAGTGGTTTTGTTTTTTAGAATGGGTATTCGAGTTGTTAGTAAAAAGCGTATAGAATTAGAATTACAATGAATGACTATTTCCTCAACAGGACTGACGCAAGTACTGGACAGCTAGGACATCTTATTTCTGTATTACACAAATTAGATCTTTATAGATGCTCTTCGTTTTCCTCCTTTGTAATTGAAATTCTAATTCTTGCACTAAGGAATATCTCAATCTTAGGCTACAACTAGTACAACTAGCGCCTTCATCTTCTTGCAGCCTCGTCCCTCTAATGGTAATGAAACACGGAGCAACTACCCCAAACGTCCAGCCCCAAACGGTGGAATACGAGAAGGGACGCTACATGACGAAAATTTGGATACGATGTGGAAAAGCGAAGGGTGAAAAAAGGACATACGAGGATCTAAAGTTACGTCTTTGAGTGGTTCATCTCTGAGTCGTGGTGCATCCTTGTTGCGTGGTTGCGTCTATGTATGGGTGAGTATGTTTATCTCTAACTCTATTTCCACAGGGAAATTTTTAGAGTGGGAATACTTCTTCTCTCCCAATATTCGCACAACTTTTCATAGGTAGCTTAGGGCTGAGTTTATGGTTTCCATCAAGGATGCACACACTGCAAAAAGGAATAGGAATACGGACAGCTCTAATAAAGAAGGAGAAGGGCGGTGGTCTGAAGGCACGCGCAAGCGCAAGGTTTACAAGCCTTACGGGCCTTGGGGGCCAACTCTACCTCGCCACGAGCAACCTCTTAAGGCCAAAAAGAGTGTTCTTGACTAGTACTAAAAAAGTTATTTTTGTTCTTATCGATCACGATTGCATTCACATTGTACTTCTCGTTCTAGTACAGTAGCTACTGATGTTGATCTACCTCTAGTGGAGTTTCGATGATCCTACTTTCTTCATCTTCTATAGCACCATCTCGCTTCTAGTTATCTTATCATGGTCTATATTAGGGCTAGCATTCTCATCGCTTGTTTGTTTGTTTGTTTGTTTGTTTGTTTGTATTGATGCGCTCCGGGCAACGCGTACGATCTCGCCGGATTTGCTTGTGCCAGGCTACGCTAGCTCTCTCATCTTTGCCAGAAGTCTTGCCATCTTCCTCTATCGGACCTCCTCGCACTCACTTGCACTGTATTTACTTATAAAACAAGTTCGTGCGCGAATAAGTTGCGCAAATAACCAGGCCAGATTTGCAAAGTGTCAACTGATAGAAAAAAATACTTTCTATTAAATATCTTATCATCTACTTGCACTTCTAATCAAAGGCTCAGACTGCAGCAATCGCGGAGTGGATGAGAAACTGGCGAAGTGTTACGTGCAGATGCCGTCTTACGACATTGTCGATCCGCACACTGGCGCTGTCGGAATCAAGATACCTGAAATTAAGGATCAATTGATGACGATGATGATAATGGAAGCTAGAAGCCAATTCCTATTGGCCAGAGTAGTTGGATAGCATCCTATTCCTTGAGTAGTAGCTATAATATAGCACGCATGGTGCATGGGGTGCATGTAGCACGCATGGCGCATGGAGTAGCATGGAGCGCAGAGCTTTAAGGGGCGCAAGAAGCTCCCCCTTTAGCTCCATGCTACTCCGTCCCCATGTGATCCATGCACTCCATGCCATCCCATGCGAGCTGTGAAACCTTGCAAATTGCTCTGCGTATTCCTTGAGTATAAGCAAGCTTGCATTGTTATAAGGAACTTGCAGCTACTTACGTTCCTGCTTCGTTCTTAAGTGCTAGCTGATTTCCTGAGTATCTAGGAGGGCGGCTTTTCCTGTCACACTGAGTGACGAACAGGCTCCAGCTAGTAGGAATCCGAATGGTAACCAGAAATGCACATGTGAATATATTTAAGGTTCTCAATCCCACGACGGGGTAGTTCGACGAGATAGGTGTAAATATTTCAGAATGAAGCTTATCTTCATCCTGGTGCTCGTTCTACAACTCCTCTCTTTTAGAACCAGAACTACAACAAGTAGAGTACCTACATCTAAGTAGAGCTAAAGCTAGAGTATCTATCAAGCCCAAGTAGAGTATCTAAATCTAACCAGAGTATCTGTAATCCTATGAAGTTTGGCCACCCATCCTGCTCTGTTTTTAACTCTAACCTATGTGACAAACAAGTGTTTTGGCCATCCTCTGTTTTTATCTCTAATGCATCTATCTAGGAAGTACCTCGAGTATCTATCGCCATTTCCCTTTAAGCCACGTCAACAGGTAGAGTATCTATTTCACCTATTTACTATGTTACAAGACCTAGAAGTAGAGCAGAAGTTATATGTACCTGATATAAATATTAACTCTTATTGTTTTTACCTCTTGCTTCTAAGCCGGAATGTGGAGCACACACTGACTGGGCAGACTTCTATTACATTGCGCATGTCCCTGAGGCATCTGGGGATGCGGAGGATGCGGGAGCTGTGAATGTCCAAGGCGTGAGGAGCCTTCGAGTCAAATTATGGCTGTTACTGCTAGAACTAGAGGTAATTATCGAAAGCTTGAAATAGTAACCGAGTTAGTGACTGACGTAAGGTTAAGGAAGGCAGCTTTGACAGGGCTACTCGTTCTTGTTCAGTATCTCGGTTATTCTGATCAGTTACCTGCTTACTTCAGTTATTACCGAATACTCTTGCTACTAGTATTATTTGTGGCCGCAGATAGAGGACTGACCCACAGTGACAGGATGGTGAAAATCAGGCGCAATTGAATAGACCAGCGGGGAGGCCCTCTGACCTCTGTTACACAAATTCACGACGCTCACGTCTTTGTTTCACGATAGCACTTCCAATGCAAAGAAAAGTGCTACTCCTTCACGATACACGTTTTCTTGCTAGTAACTAGGATTCGATTTTCTTGCGCTCCTTGCGAGGTGCGCGAAGCTTCTTGAAAGGCCTTCTCCCCTGACAGTCCGTCCAGGAACAGAGGCGGCACGACATGGCATTTCTTGCCTCTTCTTCTTCTTCTTCTTCTCCTTCTTGTTTCTTCTGTTCTGCCTGATTCCGCAGTGGTTAGCTTTTCTTCTTGGTTCTTCTGTTCTGGCTGATTCCGCAGTGGTTAACTTTGACTACTCCAAGAAGAGACGCGACTTTTACTAGGTGTAGGCCAGGTGGAGAAGTATTTACTTCGGAAGAAGCAAGCCAGGAAAACGTTTCATCAGGACGAACGTCCCGTGTTGGAAGGGAAAGTAGAGCCCTCCACCTGTTGCTAGTTTGCGAAGTGGATAAATCTGAAGGCACTCTTCTAGCAGCCCCAGAATACAAGAAAAAACGCAGCTTCTACAGCACACTTTGAAAGTAAATGCGCGTCGAAAACTGAAGGCTCTAACCAACGTGGACCCAGACTCGGCAGGCGTCAAAGAGCGCGGCAAGTCTGCACTGCGAGGTGCCTGGAAAATAATGGCTCGACGAGAACAACAAGACGAATCACCATTACGAACACATCATGTCTACCATGACAACAGTATGAAAAATTGCTTTGTATATCAGCGTTACATTACTGAGCAGAGAACTTGTAAATGATGCATGGCGAGGACAAAAATGCTGGTCTTGGGAACATCATGAAGCAAACCGTCAACAGATCTTAGAACCAAGAGAACCACAAAGCAGTCACATTTACAAACAAACTCTCAATTAGCAAGACCTGTGATGATGAGTATGGTTGCTGCTATCTTGGGTCCATCACTAAACTAACCCGTAGGATAATATGTCTCATTGGGACAACAAGAACTACAGTTAAAGTTATGACTTAAAATTTTATTTTATTTTCCACTAGATAACCAAAAACGGTTGACTCCCAGTGCCACTGAGGTAGAACAAGACAATAGTTCCTACTGGATTAGTAGAATCTCAGTTACTACTTATATATGTTAGTATAGGCAATCTTCAATGGCGTCAGCCTTATCGAGAGTTTTGTTTGTTTGTGCTGAAGTTGATGGGCTTCGGGTAGGGCGGACAATCTCACCGGGTGACAGTTCTCTGTGACTCTTCCCGTACAATCTTTATCTTAGGGGAGGTCTTTTTCCAATAGATACAATCCCAAAGAAGGGGTTTTTTGATAGCTCCTACTGGCTTCGTAGAATCTCATGAACGCGGTTAGACACGTTGCGATGATGCTTACCGGATGACAGTTCTCTGTGACAGTGACTCTTCGCCCGTGCAATCTTTATCTTAGCGGAAGAGGGCTTTGTTCCCGTACAGCGACGATCTCACCAACCAACCAACCAGCCCTAGCTTTTTCGCCGTACAATCTTAGCGGAGGTCGTCTTCCAATAGACACAATCTCACCGAAGGGCTTTTTTGATAGCTGTCCTCTTCTAAGAAAAGACTTCTCTAAAATCAACTCACGTCGAGTCTTTCGTGAAGAACTTTGAACATGCATGGTTCCACCGAGTACCTTATCAGCTGTCCAAGCGTGGCCTGCATACACCTGCTCAGGCCATGACCCAGGAACAATCGGATGTTGGGGATCTTCTTAAGGCTCACAGGAATTCATCTGAAGAAGCATCTTCGTTCTGTGTTCCTCTTTTCTTTGAGGGAAAGCAAACGCTTCAAAGATGCTGTGTGTTCAAGATGGATATGAGTAAGGTCTAACAACTCTAGCACTGAAACCGAAACGAGCACTCAAGCGGGTGGAGAAAAGGGGGATGAAGATGGAGCAGACCGAGTTACGGCTCTTTTTTGTCCACTGCTACCACAAATTCTAATGAATACGTAAAAGTAAATCTGATATGCCAATGTTGTCTTTGTCAACAACAAGTAGATGAGTAACAAATGTAGCAGAGTAGTTTAGGCACAAGAACTTGTTGTGGCCCATTAGGTTTACTGTTCAGTTCGCTGATATCAACAAGAACAAGTAGCGTTAGGTTACGAGATAAAAAAGCCATTTATCTATGACTATCTGAACAAATACAAAGTCTGAACGCTAGTATAGCTGAAGCATCTTTATTTAGTATGTGTATGAGTATGTAGTAAGACGATTCAATTTGAATCGGCACTACCAGGCAAGAAGGTCTATTCGGAAACTTGAAGTACTAGTACGTATCAAGTGAGTTCAAGAATATTGTTCTAAGCTAGTACTAGTAGCTCCCTTACAGATCACTTTGCTCGGATATTTCAGTTCATCGACTATCTCTAAAGTAAATAGGTCACCAGGGAGTGGAGGGGGAGAAGACGACGACCCTGAACACGCAAGTTTTGTGGAACTGAGAGGAGAACACGAACAGGATGAAAAGGCAGTAAAAGTTGAGGCCTCCGAAGCTCCTACGAACGTGGTCACGCGGCGAAAGTCCTGGATTGCACCTGCAACTCAGAACTCGCACATCTATTTCATTTTATGGCCATCTGTGTAGATAAATATTAAGCCTTTGGTCTTCCTCGGTTCAAAAACACTATTTCACCTTATGGCGCATGCTATGTCTTGATGTGATTATTCTAAAATTGTATATTGATTAATAGATGAACTTCAACTTTTTTTACCTCCACGTACGAGGACCAGCGGGTAGTGAGTCATATTTTCTTTTTTTTATTTTGTCCTTGATCATCGTCTGAGATTTTTGATGCTAGTACAAGCAAGGAAAAAAATAAAAAGAGGTAAGGACTTGTACTATCATGGGTATGAATTGCATAGGTAAATTCTTCACGCTGTATGTTGATGCTCTACATCTAAAACAGATTCTCCCAATAAAGCGTTGAGAAAAATGATCGGTGTTCTTATCCTCGTATGTTTGATGATGAAGATGAAAGAAGGTGGTGGAAGAAGATGATGGTAGAAGATGAGAAGAAAGTAGGTGGAGAAAAACGTAACACAAGTCTCGAGAAATTGCACTACAGATTCCATTCAGCCAATGAACGGCATTGCCGCTCTCTAATTTGATTCGAGGAAGAGTGGAGAAAACGCCTCACCGAGCACAAGCCTTAAGAATTGGTCGGCTGCTTCCTTGTCTTGCTCTTCCAAGATGATAACTATAGCGTTGGATCTAGTTGTAGGAATTGTTTTGTCATCCGTAGAGAAGTAGTATTAGTATTTTCATGTATCAGGGAGTAGTGCGTCAATTAATTCCTATTTTCTATTATCATTTTTTACAGAATCAGAAAAATTCCTATTTTCTGTAGCATTGAAAGCTTGCTCTTGTAGTTTATAAGCCGCGACGCGCGTGCGGGCGCATGCTCGTGGCTTCCTGGGGGGCGATGCCGGGTCACCAAGGTCTTCCCCGTCGGCAAAGGCCGACTGGGGTGAACAAGCGCAAAAAGCGCCCAGCGAAGTCGCGACAAGGTGTGAGCTTCCTTGTTTCAATCCGCTAGCAGATTCCCTAGCGGTCTTCGGGTATTTTTTCCCTCCCTCCCACTGCCTTGGGCTTGGCACCTCTTGGTGGACTCATTCAGCCTGAGAGTGGGCTGCAGGCGCCCGTTAGAACTGAAGGCCGGCAAAGGGTCCGGCTGTTGCAAGCTCGAAACGAGCAGCAGGGGCGGCGAGAGGCCGCCCCCGCCTGCCTCTCGGGGTTCGATGGTCCCCTGGACGGCAATACCTTGGCGGCCCTCGGCGGTTGTTGGCTCTCTGAGTTGGCCCGCGCCTGGTGTGGCGCGTGGTTCGTTCCACAAGTTTCGAATTCGAAGAGCGTAGGGCGCGAGCGCGCCCAGAAGCCGGACGTGGCTTATATTATCGTTTTCTTTCCATTTTCCATTTTCCATTTCCAGCTGACTGGGGTATACGTGCTGCGCTTCTTCCTTTTCCTTGATATTGCTTTTGGGATGCTCAAATTCAACGACGGGTGTTTTCTCAATGCTAACGCAGCAGCAGAGGGATGATCCACCTTATCAGGAGTCCATAAGAAAGCGGCTACTATCGATTTCCATCTTCATTTCTATAAGTACTTGTTATCCTGATCGATAATATCTTCTAACAAGAAGTAGCGGCTTTCGTCAATAGTGCAGCTTAGTGAACGTACAAGGGTATCATATCTGTCAGACATCATGACGCCTATCCTTAGTACTTTGAGGAGATATGATGCAGTTTGGTATTTCTCGGTCCATCTCGTCATATCCTTAGTACTAATCTCATCACTTTAGTGGTGTTCTCATATTGTCCACCATATCCTTAGCACAATTAACTATACTCTTCATCTTCTAACCACTAGACGTGTATAGCATGTTGTTCAGCATGCAGGGCGTTGAGGTACCCGAAAAATGGGATTTTAAAGAGCCTCCAACAAGTTTGCAGGGAGCGATGAATATCTTAAGGCTTACCCTAATCCATCTCTGACAAGTTCTCAGAAACTCTGAGAAGTTCCTGTGAGATTCTCAGGACGCGTCCTAGCGAGGATTTTCAAGGGGAAGGGGGCCCTGGGATGAGTCTCAAGATGGATAAGAGTGAGCTCTAAATATTATACAAAAATACGTCGCGGAACTTGAAGACCGTGCTGAACAGCAGAGGCTCGAGGAGAGGAAGGAGAAAAGTAAAGGTAAGGAGCTCCAGCAGAGGGAGAAAATCGAAGATCTCCAAGCGAAAAAGACAAATTAAGACGACAACATTTACATCTACAACTACATGCATTGCTTGAAGAAGAGACCTATTTTGATGAATTATGACATCTGCGCGCATTGCTTGAAGATACATTTATTCGAAAACTGAAAATAACCGAGTTACTGACTGAAATAAGCATAAGGGAGGTAGCTTAACGTCAAGGCTACTCTTCCTTCTCGTCAGTCTCTCGGTTATTCTGCTCAGTTACTTGCTTATTTCAGTTTTTCGAATACATACTTGGAGGAAGTAGACATAGACAAGCACAAGACGAAAATATTAGAAGTCGCTAATCCTCACCTTATCATGAGTTTCAAATGAGTGAAATGAGTCTAAGGAGCGAAGTTAGAGGTTTTAGATCATGAAGAGGGTAATCAGTTACGAACCTGTTCCACATTCATCGCACTCACATTCTCACTTGTGAATTCTTCTAGTTAGATTGATATATATCTTGAGCATGTACTTACTGGTTCTTGTTGAATTTCGATTGAATTTTAACTTGAGATTGATCACTGGTGCTGTTTTTAGGTTTACGTGTCCGATGATCGGGAGCAGGAGCAGGAAGCTCCTTATGAGTAGATACTCGTACTTCATTGATCTACTAAAATTGAAAAGTACAGGCCTTGACTAAGATAGGAAGGGAGCTCGTGCATTACTGTAGCTCCTGCTTTACTAGCGCTAAAACGAGGCTGCTCTTGAGGTAAGTGACTTTACAGGGACTAACGACTGTCTTCACCATTGGGAAGAGCATGACCGACGACGGCATGCTGCCGCCTCTGCGCCGACCACACTGGACGACTTCTTTCACGAGCGTTTATTTTTAATCGCCTGCCTGAATAGACTTGCGACGCCCACTTTGTACATGTACTTAAGACTGGATTATGATTTAGAGTAACTTGAAGATCATCCAAAA